AAACCCTAAACCCTAAACCCTAAACCCTAAACCCTAAACCCTAAATGCTTAGGGTTTAGGGTTTAGGGTTTAGGGTTTAGGGTTTAGGGTTTAGGGTTTAGGGTGTTGAGGAAAAGTTATAGTATAAAAAACGTACGGGGATAGTAGTAGTATGGTGTAAGATCATATAGGAATGGGTATAGTAATTCGTATGGTGTAAGATCATATAATACTGCAGTCTTTACTGCAATATATTACAGTACACTTTGATATATTCGAGGAGTTCAAGATTTGGTCGGCGGCTGTTGTGCGTCCACCGTCCTCCACCAAACGTCACTCTTGACGCAGCACCACTTTTGGTAACCGAAAGCTCGAACCCTCTACCTCCAAACTTGTAAACCCTCATCGAACCCTTACAGCATCCGTATAGAAACCTTATAGAATCTGTACAGAACCATTGCAGAACCTGGAATTCCTTATTCTTGAACAACTCTTTCAAGCCTCTGAGCTGCGTGCCTCGACACCAGTCGAAAGTGCGCCGTGGGCTCCCCGGGCACAGCTCTCAAGATCTCCAGCTCATGGAACATGTCTTGGTAGTGCTCCTCTACTTGGAGGTTCATGGGAAGTTATAAGTGGAGTTATCAGTACAGGAACTATAGTTATAAGTGGAGTTACAAGTAGGGGAACTATAGTTTAGGAGACTTATAACTCCACTTACTACCCTCTAAACCCTTAACCCTAAACCCTATAGAACCCTTCAAAGGAACCCTTTAAAGAACCCCATAACCCTACTTCTAACTACCCATGAACCTGCAAGCAGTCGGGTTTGACCAGGGTCTGATGGAGTCCTGTGGTCCTACGAGGGCTTTTAGACTCCTTAAGGGACTCTATGGGGGCTGCAGGGCTCAATAAGAAACGGTTAGGGTTTAGGATTTAGGGTTTAGGGTTTAGGGTTTAGGGTTTAGGGTTTAGTGGGATTCTTGGGCGCTTCTGTAAGGGATTAGGGTTCGGAGGAGCCGTGCTCCTGCACACCTTCAAGCCTCTGCCATTCAGGACCTACTTGGAGGTTCATGGGTAGTTATAGTGGGGTTATAAGTAGGGTAACTATAGTTATAACCCACATTAGGGGACTTATAACCCTACTTATAACTACCCATGAAGCTCCAAGTAGAGACCTAGACTAGCAACGGCAATAGGTGCCAGCAAGAAATAATGCAAACTCAGGCATCGTGAAAAGATTGGGACACAGAGACCCATTGCAGACTCTTGGAACACAATCCTGAATCGGAGCACTGCGTCCGAATCTCGAAACAGAGGCCGGGATATCTGAAAACTACGGCCTGCTCAAACACAAACTACTGTTGATGATATCAATCCTGCATGACTTTAAGGACCCTAAACTATGGGAATTCTGGTATATTCCTTCCCTTCTTGTGGGTCATGATTTATATCATCAACCGTACTTGGAGGTTCATGGGTAGTTCTAAGTAGGGTTATAAGTTATAAGTCCGGTAATATGGGTTATAACTATAGTTACCCTACTTATACCCCCACTTATAACTACCCTAAACCCTAGCCCCTAAACCCTATAGAACCCCTTAAAGGAACCTTATAACTGGGACTTATCACCCCACTTATAACTACCCATGAACCTCCAAGTAGGTTCAGGGAATAGAGAAGCCCTGGGTCGCTTGGAAGTCCCAGGCCCCCAAACCGTAAGCCACGCGCTTCGCAGTCTCTCTCTGAGTTAAAGGAAACAGGGTTCCTTTAAAAGGGGTTTAGGGTTTAGGGTTCCTTTAAGGGTCTAGGGTTTAGGGTTTAGGGTACAGGTGGGGAGTTTAGGGTATATAAGGCTTCTATAAGGCTTCCATAAGGTATATAGACCCTCTATAAGGCTCCTCTAGCGGTAACTACGCACCTGAAAATGTCCTAGACTGAGTCCTTGTAATGGTACAGGTCCTCCGCCAGTGGCCGTGGCTCCAACATGGCTTTCTTCGGACACCAGGATCAGAGACAAAGATAGAAGCCAGAGGACAACTCTCTAATGCTATTCCCAGCGCTTTCTTATTAAATCTCTCGATGCAATATGCCTTGAAAAACTAGTCTAATTATTCAGGCCCCTATACTGGCTGTTTTCACTGGTGCGAAGCTGTGCGAACATATACCATAGGGAAAGGCATGTGTGGTATTGGCACTCTCAGCCAAATTCGAAATCGAAACATCTGGTATACCGGCTGTGTTAATTGGAACAGGGTGTTGGGGCATAGCAGCAGGATATCATGATAATGCCAATGATACTGATATTCATAATGGTAACAATAATAATAGCAAACAGTCATAATTCTATTTGTTGGTAATTCTTTAGGCTTCAGTGCTAAACGCTGAGGTGGCCTTGATGTTCTATCCTCACTCTCAGCAAGAGCCCTTTGGTTTCAGTTTTTCTGTAGAGTTTCGGGTTTAGACCATGGACCCTGCCTTTGGCGCACAGTCCTTCCGCTTTATGAGGCCTTCATAATTAGATCGGTGTTTTGAGCTATGAGGAAATCGAAGGACGGCGTCTTGTTTCAAAACATTGCTCAGGCCCCCTAAATTACAGCTGGCATTGGCAGCCGTGCGTGCCTTGCCACATGTCACACTCCGGGATGCTGCAGACACGCGGTGAAGCGACGTGCTAACAAGTTATGACAAAATTACTTGTACATGTAACAAGCGAAATCTAAACCCTAAACCCTAAACCCTAAACCGCCTGAATACAAGTATCATTCCTTGGGATTCCATAGTAGAATTTCACTAAAATACACCCCCGATTCTAACTGTCAAGGCCCGAATATAGGGGACTTAACAAGTAGAGCAAGGTTTTGGGGTATATCCTACAGTAAGTATAACAAGGAGCCACCAAACTAGTATAGGTAATTATTAAGGCCCCTAGGTTATATTATCCAGTTGCTTCTTCGGAGTTGCCTCTCCAGGGGTTCATCTTGAAAGGCTTTGGGAGGAAGCTGGCGGCGGCCCCCTGTCTCTCTCTTTCAGTAACCGTGCATGTCGTCTGATGCGCGGGCTATGCAAGACAACGAAAGATCGGGTGAAACTCTCCAGCGAAATCGTATCTCAAGCTCCTGTAGCGAAGATGTGAGGAGCGAACCCTGAACCAGAATTTCTTGCCCCGACTAGCACCAAGCCCGTGCCCCACACAAACTCCCATGCCTTCAAGACGGAGCCCCAAACCCTCACCCGTTGCCATTGTGACTGTGAATGGTCCTCGTACAGAGAGTTCAATCATGATTACTCTTGTAACCTTATTGCTGTTTTCATCGGCGTAGACCGTTGAGCCACTGCAATTATAAAAAAGGAACCCCCAAAATAGTATAGGTAATTATTTAGGCTTCTGTACTAAAGCCTTCAAACACTCTGCGGTGTGCGCTATCTACTTAAAGGATCATGGGACTTAGTAGCTAGGGTTATAAGTCAGGTAACCATACTTATAATTATTTATAACCCCTCTTAAGGTACTTATAACCCTACTTACTAAGTCCCATGATCCTCCAAGTACAGCCTCACTCAGCCCCTTCCGCCGAAGCGCCGGCGCCCCGAGGAGCCTTGGGGGACGCGTTTCGGGAGGTAGCAGGTTCCCTTTCGGTTTCGAATATACTTAAGATAGGGGCCTTAATAATTCGAACAGGGCTTTGGGGCCTGTTACCCTTCCTTGGACGGTTCGAATATACTTTATATAGGTACTTTATATATACTATAGGGGCCTAAATAACTAGAATAAGGTTTTGGGGCCCGCTATACTATAATTATAATCAGGACCCCCCAAAATAATAACAGTGGCAATGATTTAGGCCCCTATATTACTGACTCAGTAAGTAAGCAAGTAAGCAAGACAGTAGGTAAGCAAGGTGAATGCAGCTATGCCTGCATGTGCTTCCTAAACCCTAAACCCTAAACCCAAGACCCTAAGCCCTAAACCCTAAACCCTAAACCCAAGACCCTAAACCCTAAACCCTCTAGGCGCCCCTTCGAAGAGAGCCCAGACTTCGAGGGCAGGGCTTTCGGCTCCGGGCTTGGCATGTACTTGGAGGTTCATGGGTAGTTATAAGTAGGGTTCTGGGGTTCCTTTAAGGGTTCCTTTAAAGGGTTCTATAGGGTTTAGGGTTACGGGTTGAGGGTAGTCATAAGTAGGGTTATAAGTCTCCTAATATGGGTTATAACTATAGTTAGCCTACTTATAACTCCACTTATAACTACCCATGAACCCCCAAGTAGGGCCTGTTCTGGGCTCGCCACAGCCGGACAACAGACATGCAGAGATACCAGATGGTACTAGCAGCAAGCACTGACTGTGGGCAAATGGCTATGGGTCTCACCCTGGCGGCAGTGGAACTGCGTGTGAGAAGAAAGTAAGATGCCAGCATCATAACCAACCAAAATCAAGAACTCCACGACATCAGCAAACCCACACCTAAGCCCCATCATGGACACTTCTACAAAAACCATATGGAACCCTTATGCAAACGAGAACCGTTCTGAAACCCTGTACAGTAGGACAAACATGAAGTCCGATGGAACCTGCAGTGCATTTCCCAGCAGCCCATCGGGTCGTAGTCCACTGTGGCAGAAGCAGCCGTCGTGGGTGGCGTCTCATCCAAGTCACCTGGGCGTTCGTCTGAACGGTTTAGTGCACGGGTGCATAGAGTTTGGAGGACTTATAATGTTGAGAAGGGGGTCGGTTACAGGGCTCTTTTGGCGTTTAGCTAGGCATTCGTCGAAGTCAGGGAACCCGGGAACCCATTTCGTGTACCCGGAAGACGGAGATGGGAACGACCCACCGCTTTGAACACTGGCACATCATAACCCGAATGCTCTGTTCGGGTTACTGTAAGCTGACGGTACCCCAAGAATTGGCCTTGTTGTCCTAGTATGGGATCCTGAAAAGAGGGGAGCAGGATCTTAAGAAGGATCCTGAAAAAGGATGAGCCCACGGGTTCTCAACACCAACGTAAAACTTTCACCCAGCATCGGGGAATGTCCTACCGTCAATGCGAAGCAGTACATACAGCAATGTACAACGCTAATGTAGGTCCCTGAGCAATTAGAATACTTGGAGGTTCATGGGTAGTTATAAGTAGGGTTATAAGTCCCCTAATATGGGTTATAATTACAGTTACCTTACTTATAACCCCACTTATAACTACCCATGAACCTCCAAGTAGGGTTGTACCCCCGGGAGGATCTGAACCAGAACCTCCCAAACCCGTTGCCTATGCCGTTTTCCGAAGCACCGCAACCACAAACGCATACTCCAAACACGAACACTGAAGTTCAGCCTTGTGTTGGCGCCTCTTACTGATTTCGGGGCTACACTTTTTACAGCATTGCGGAGTCATGGGCCGCACCTTTTTAGGCCCGAATCTGCTTGCTGCAGCCTGAACTCGCCAGAGAGCCCAGTACCCCTTAATCAAGGAATGTACCTTAAACCATAAGGCCCCTGTAATTTAAGCTCTATTCCTTAATTGAGGCATACACCTTAAATCATGATATAAAGGCCCTTATAACTTGAGGTCTATTCCTCGATTGAGGCATATACCTTAAACCATGATATAAAGACCCCTATAACTTGAGGTCTATTCCTCAATTGAGGCATATACCTTAAACCATGATATAAAGACCCCTATAACTTGAGGTCTATTCCTTCCTAAACCCTAAACCCTAAACCCTAAACCCTAAACCCTAAACCTTAATTAAGGTCTTATTGGGCTCTCGGGGTCCTAAGTGCAGCTTCAGTCTGAGGCCCCCTACGCATACTGCCGCTGTTTGCCAACCCCCTGCTGCGGGAGCCGGAACCTGCTTAAATGCCAGTGTAGGTATACATATATATATATATACTGTATATATATATATATGTATATATATATATATGTATGTATATAGATATAGGTGTGTCTATATATATATATATATATACACATAGATACAATACGTATACATGTATAAAAGGATCATGTGCCAACGGGCGCAACCGCCACCAGTGTTCGCCTGTGTCGCCATCTTCAGCATGAAAGCACCAACCATTTCAGAAGGTTATGACTACGGTGACTACGGTATAACCATTAAAGATCACAGGAGTAGCATCCCAACACAGATCTTTCCGTCTTAGCTTCTGCAAATCCGCGTTTTGCCCCAGACACAAACTGAAGACGCAGGAATGCTCTCCCGTGCAATTCGCTCCATCAAGAAGACTGCGTTCTGAGACGCAAGCGTGGTCGAGTTCGTGCTTGCCCTGCGGTGGAGACTACAGAAAGGTCCTCCGTCTCTAGGAATATCAGTCATGGAATACATCGGTGCCTGCATCTTCGCTCCTCAATCGCTCGCGGGCTCCAGAGCTACTCAGACTTACCGGTGTAATATAGGGGCCTCAATAATAATTAGGGGTTTGAGGTATATTATATACGATAGTTATAACAAGGAACCCCCAAAACCCTATTCTAATTATTAAGGCCCCTACATAAAGCCCGAAATCGTTCGTAAGAAACTCTGCATCCCAAACCTGAAGCCCTGGATCTTGACCCCGACACATTCTATACCTTGAGTCGTCAGCTCTAGACCCTACGGTTGATGATATAAATCCTGCATTACCCATTATGAGGAATATACCATAATTCCCATAGTTTGGGTCCTTAAGGTAGTGCAGGATTTAAATCATCAACAGTAGGTAACCCTTCAACTCAGATTCTCGGCCAGCAATGTGAATCTTGTGCTTGCCAGTTCAGGTTTAGGGTTGTTTAGGGGAAGCCTAAGCTTGCTCTAACACCCTGAGCCCTTGTACAGCACAGCGATGTGTATATATATATATATAGACACCGATGTACCGGTAATATAAATAAATAAATATATATATATATATATATTTTTTTTTTCCTGCACAACTCCTAATTTGATAAGCATTCCCTTAAGACGACCGAGAGAATCGAGCAGCAAGACTCTTGTGACTTGTGAGCAGTCCCCTAAACCCTAAACCCTAAACCCTAAACCAGTCCCTTGCAAGCTCCCCCCATCTGCGGCCTTTGCGGATGCCAGACGGCGAGTCCTGCCCGTGGTCTACTTGGAGGTTCATGGGTAGTTATAAGTAGGGTTATAAGTCCCCTAATTAGGTTTATAATTATAGTTACCCTACTTATAACCCCACTTATAGCTACCCATGAACCTCCAAGTACTTCGAGGCTGCGTAGTGCAAAGGGAGGGTCTTGATATCAGGCCACGCTTGCAGTAGAGTGGCTTAGCAATAGCTACTGCAGGAGTCATAGCTTTGGTGAGGGTAAGCAATGAGTCTGTGATGTTCAGACAAACATATAAAATTTCTGCAAACCCTATGGAAAACAGCGTAAAACCCTTATACAACCCTCCAATACACTACTGCTGCATGTAAGATCAACCCTATAAAACCCCTACACACCCCTTATGCAGCAGCCCTTCAGGGTGATTCTAAACCGCACGAGGAGAAGATACATTCAGGCCTCGCCCAGCATTCGGAAGGCCCCTTCGGGCAAAGGAGTGGTCGTCTTGCTGAAATCCTGCCGCGCGCGGGGGTTCGGATCACGACATCTACTCCGATACAAGGGGTTCATTTAAGGTTTCCTGTTCAAAGGGTTGTTGGATACTGTACGGGCTTATCACAAGGTATTAGGGCTGAGGGTGTAGGGGGTCATTACAAGGCTTCAGGGTTTCCGTCGGGCCTACTTGACTGGATTAGCAGAGCAGAGGGTCCATAAAGTTTAATATGCGGGCCTTAAGAATTATTGAATAGAAAAAGCAAGGAGCGTAATATTGATTGTTCAGACCTCCACATTAAAGGCTGAAGCCATTCGACGCGAGGGTTTGCAACACGAAGTTGAAGTTAAAGGTTCAGGGTATCAGGATTTAGAGCTGTGGTTGCAAGGGCGAAATAAAGGGGGCTCGGCCTCACCCCCATACGTAAGATTATTCAGGAACATCTCGGTAGTTTTCTAAACTAGGGTCCCTTTTTGGGGTGCCCAAGGTAGTATGGCACCCTGATACAAAGGACGCTAATTTAGAGAACTTCCCACGTAGGCTTACGAGGATTTCCACTCCCAGCTCCAGCGACTGCCTCTTCTTCCTGGCTTACTTCTATGCTTGAGCCCAGCCTCTGTTAAAGGAAACTACGGGTGGGGAGTTTAGGGTATATAGACCTTCTATAAGGCTGATATGTCCTAGACTCTGAGAAGAGCCAAGCAAGCAGAAGAAGATGAAGCTAGCAGGCCTCAAATCAAACAAGTCTTGAAGCCTGCAGGAAGGATACACCAAACTCGTATGAAAACCTCACAAGATTCGACAAACCCAGTAAAAAAACAAGACACGCCGAGTTTGAAGAAAACCTCGCTTCGGAGAGTCCACGGGGAGTTTGCCTCAATCTCTGGCGGCTTGCTGCCAGTCCTCTTCCCAGGGGCCTGCCGATAACGAAGGTTCTGAAACATCGGGCTGCCTTTTTTTGCTGCAGCCCGAAACCCTAAACCCTAAAACCCCCTAAACCCTAAACCCACCTCAAGCCCTAAACCCTAAAACCCCTTAAACCCTAAACCCTTTCTGCCGTGCTATATGGGGGCTTCCGCAAATAGGGGACCCCAATACAGCACCCTAAAGACTAGGATCCTTATAAAGGGGACCCCAAGATACGGTCTCCCCAATTTTCGGGGACTCCCATACCGGGGACCTAAACAGGCACCTCAAATCAGAGAACTAATACCGGGGTCTTAATCAGAATAGGGTTTAGGGGTCCTTTATGGTATA